AGTTGCGCGACTTGGTTCTCATCTCATCCCCATTCTGCGTTGTGTGTGTTGAGTCATAATCTGTGTGAATGGTGACGTTGCATGCTTTGTGATACACTCTGGCAAAATGAGGTCAGTCAGGGCCCTTGCAAACTTGGTATCGGAGCGAAAGCTTGATGCACTTAGTGCACTGGCATGAGTAAGGCCGGCGAGAAGAAGAAGAGAACGCTGGCTTGACGATGATGTTGGTGATGGTAGAGTTGTGAGAGAGGTGGATTGGGATAGGGGGAGAAGTAAGCCGAAGAGGAAGGGGCAGAAGATTACTTACTTGCAGCGTTGGAGTGTAGAACGACGAGGAGCTTCATCGACAGCTGCTTCAAAGAGAGAAGAACCTTCATTCCCTTACCTGGCTGTGTGTGTGATCTCTACTTCTTCCCCTCTCTGGTGGTCGTTGCTGCTGCTGTCTACCTAAGGTCCGGTCTGGGAGTCAGGATACAAGTGTCTGGTCACACTCGAAGTAGTAGTGGTCAGAGTCCTGGTGGTCTTCTCTTCTACCCCTCTGAATTGTCATCTGTAGGAGGTAGTAAGGGTGGGGGGAACACTGGTTGTAGTGGCTGATTGCCACGTCAGATAGCAGTCACAACATAAGGTCTAATCTGGGCAGTAGTAGTAGTGTGATACAGCATTGTCCAGGCATCTGACAGGTACACACTCCAGTACCCCCTGCGCAAGAGGACAGACAAGCAGTGTTAATAAAAACAAAGAGAGAACACCCAGATCAGCAAGGAAGAAAGAAGGAACTCATTGAGTAGGAGACAGACAGCGTGTAAAAAAAAAAAAAAAAAGTTCTACTTAAGATCTTTATTATTTGAAATTCATTATTGCGAAAGCAGCGATTTTCAGCGTCTGGAAAAAAAAAACGAAAAAAACAAGCATAGTATCTCATCCACTTCAGACTAAGTTTAGTGGCACCTGAGGGAAGTATCTTGGTGGAGCGGCGAAGGATTGCCTGTGTCGTCAGCTGCCATGGATGACTTTCCCATGCAGGGAATTCTGGCCCTTTCTATCTTATTGGACCCCCTCTTCAGAACCTTATTTCCTCTGGGGTTTGGGAAAACGTGCTTGTCCCGTATGATGATGAGGTCAGGGATGACGAAGCCAGGCACCACGCCTGCGAACAGGTTGAGATCGATCGCCGCCAGGCTGAAAAGAAGAAAGGAAAAGACAGAAGGAAGAAGAAATAAAGAAGAAAGTGCAGGTAGAAGACGAGAGAATGAGAAGAGAAATGAGAGAAAAGTTAGAAAGAGAATTGAAGGAGGAATTGCAGACAATTGAAGAAGAAGATGAACCTGCTGATGATAGGCTCATCAGACGGCGGACGGAAAGAGGTGAGACTAGTCAGCCAAGTGGAGGACTTGAGGTCAAGCCGCTGGACTGGTACGACCAGTATGCATACTCCAGCGATCGTGTAGAAGAGACAGAGGAAGAAAGAGATGTATTTCTTGCAAAGTTGGCATCCATTGCAGACCAAAGAGAAAAATATCTTTTGCTTGAGGAAAACGTACAGAACTGCATAGCAAAATGTTAGCAGCAAAGCGGCAGGAATTGG